CCTAGACCGAGATGCTGTGGAATTGTGTGGCAGATAACGTGTAATAAAATAAGGCTGAAGGGCCAGGCTGAAGGCAGATTGTGGAAGGCCTCATATGCCCAATCAGGAATTTATATATTATTCAGTAGGCACTGAAAAAATTTTGAGGAGTGTTTGGGAAGATTGTTAAAGTAATAATGAATAGAAGGGGTTAGAGTGATGATAGACTAGAAGCAAGGTGACCAGTTAGGAATCTATTAAAAGAGACTAGGTAACAACACGATGGTCTGACTACAGCACCCAGAAGAAAAGGAAAAGGGGGGCTAGATGGAGACTGAGGAAGGATTTTGCAACTGACTGACTGCATGGAGTTACAGAGAAAGGGGAAAAAATGACTCCCAAGTCATGGGCCTGAGCAAACGGCAGAATGGGAGACCCATTAACATAAAGTGAGAAGTTAGAGGATCAATCGGGAGAAGAGTAGATTTTAAGAGAAAGATGGTGAATTCAGTACAGGAAGGTTAATTCTAAGGTGCTAACAGGATATCCAAGAGGCTATATTCAGCAAACAATTACAAAAGCAAAGACAGTTCTAAGGATAGTTTGGGAAATAGAAAAGAAATCTTGAGTCAGGAAGAATCATCTTCATGAGTTCAAATCTGGCCTCAGACACTTAGTAGCTGTGTAATGCTGAGCAAGTTACTTAGTTCTGTTTGCCTTAGTTTCCTCATCTGTAAAATGAACTGGGGAAGGAAATGGAAAACCACCCCAGTATCTTTGCCAAGAAAATCCCAAATGGGGTCACAGAGTCAGACATGACTGAAACAATTGGACAACCAGAGAGAAACAGGTTGGAGAAACCTCTGAATAGAAACAGAGGTAATAACTAAAACCACAGGAGTAAATATAATCAAATAAAAGAATTCAGAAAGAACAGAAGGCCTCAAATAAATCCACAGGGAATCTAGCCTCAGATACTTAATAGTTGTGTGAAGTCACTTAACCTCTGTCTGCCTCAGTTTCCTCAAAGGTAAAATCTAAATAATAGCACTTACCTTGAAGAGTTGTTGTGAGGATCAGTGAAATAATATTTGTAAAAGTGCTTAGCACAGTGCCTGGAACACAGTGGATGCTATACACATGCTTATTCCCTTCCCTCTATGGACTTCTCAGAATAAAGTTTTTAAATGCATAAAATAAATAGGATTACAAAGGAAACCAATTATATTCAAAAACAATTATCAAAACAATTTTAAAGCAAGTTCACAAACTCCATGTTAGAAACTCTTGCTCTAGGTCCCTTGAGACTGCAGGGCTATCATATGGGGACCTTCCATTGGTTACTACTGGCCTTCAGCATCCAATCAACGCTCCTTCTTCTAAGGTCACACATCTCCCTGACAAAATCCATTATGCTACTTCTCCTGAAGGACTCTACCTTTTGGGTAACATGCAATTTTGTTTCCTCAGAAATTGGAGTATTCTATGGTCCACAGCTATATAGCATGCTTGGAAGAATGTTAAGAAGGTCAAAGGGATGGGCCTTTGCTTCAGGAAGAACTTCAAGCTCATTAAAAAGTTACCATGAGTATCACTGCAAGCAATCCAGCCCTCTCTCCTCCTATTTCATTTTGGGTCCAGGTCACTGTCTATCCACATTACTCTGTCCAAGATTTAGGTACTGATGGATCAGTTCTAAAGACTGTCCATCCAACTGCCTAGCAAAGTTTGGATTCTGCAACTTGTGTTAAAAAAAAAAATGGCAAAGCAGTGTGAGTGGATGTTTCATATACCTTCATAATTTTCTTATCCAGACATGCCTACAATTTCAAAAGTAGCACCCACACAGTAGACACAGTGCAAAAATGCTAGCAAAAAATTGCCAACTCATCCTTTCTGCAACTTGCTAAAGTTCTCCCACCCTGCTCCCCAACAAGTTTTGAAGACAGACAGTAGTGTAAGAACTTATGAGGCAAGCATTTCATTGCATGCACATGTTTTTTACAAAAATTAGACTCTCCTGATTCCAAGTACCATGAACTAGGTTGGAAAGATAGGATGTTGCTATTTAGAACAGTAGGTGAAGAGTAACAAGCCTTTTGCCCAAGATCAGAAGTGATATGGTATCCAACTCTCTTCAAGGATTACTTAAGAGTTTAGGCCCTTGCCACTAGCAATGTAAGACCACCAGTGATGAGTCAAACAAGGGCATATTTCTCAACCTCTTCTCCCCTTCTTTTAAAAAGCAAAACAAAAACATGATTAGGAAAGTTAACTACAACTGACAAAGAAACATACTTTACACAAGCACATGCTAGAAATTATTAAATACATGCACAGGAATGTGAGGTTTCATTAATTCTGCATAATGATGGATGGGAACTGTGACATTATTATAGCTGTCTGTAAGGTGTTTTATCTCCCTAGACTACGTCCTCCAATGATCACGTCTTATCTAATTTTGCATCTCCCTCAGTACCTGTTCAGGAGCTTAATAAAGGTTTACTTAAGTTGATAAATAGATAGATGCTCAACATTGCTGTGATAGATGCCTAAAAAATCTATTCAGTGCCTAACACAGTGTCTGAAACATGTTTGGTCATTTTGTGGCAGTGTCCAATTCTTCGTGACCCCATTTGGGGTTTTTTTTTTTTTGGGCAAAGACACTAGGGTGGTTTGCCATTTCCTTCTCCAGGACTACTACAGCATAGTAGGTGCTTAATAAATGCTTGCTGACCAAGTAAAACAAAACAAAACAAAACAATGCTGGAACTGAGACTGACTGACTTATCTAAAGTTCTACCCAAAATTTATTACTTAGGTATCACAATGGCCTACACTTTATGGAGAGAAATATACCAACTACATACAGTAAAGCTTGGGGGCAAGAAAGTTTGGGTGGAGAAGGGAGGTAGTAAATTGGGAAACCTAATTAGTAAATGATTCAGTACTACCATCTGAACCAAGGAACAATCCCATGAATAAACAAACTTTGCATCTTCCCAAGTGCTATGGCAGGGGCAGCTTCAGATGCTTCAAGTGGTACGATTATAACAACAGATATCCACAACTACTGTCCTCCAAAGACCAGGGTGTGCAAGTGAAAAATAATGGGTGATTTTGAAGAAAGTAATGTTTAAAAAAAATCTATAACTAAAAAAATTCTACCCTTTACTGCTGCGAAATAAAGGAGAAAGGGGTGAATTTCTGATTCAGACCTACAATGGCAGGTGAAGAAAGAAAAGTGGCACATAAGGTAAGTCACAAACTGATTTCTAATTGTAAATTTATTTAATTCCACCTTGAAGTCTTTGTGGGAACTTTGCTCCAGCTAATTCAATGCCCTTTGCCTTTTAAAGAGAAATCAGTTCATAAGAACCCCAGAACAGCAAGAAATTGGGCCAGAGAGGGTTGCAAACACCATATTGTGGTAGTCAAGGGGGAATCAAATTAGATTAATTTCTACAGTGTATTTATATTCTAGTCTTTTCCCACCAACTCTGGTGAGAAATGTCTCACCAAAGCACCTGTAGTGCTTGCACTCATGTCTGCAACTATACTCTCTCCCAGTGAAGCCAAGAGCTATTAAGAAAAAAAAAAATCCAACATTATTTACCTTTCAAGTCTAATGGTCCTCAAATAAGAATGTTGTTCCAAGATTTTCCCTAGCTCCTAGAAACTTTCCTGCTTTTTAAGTTGTTCCCCACATGCTGACCTCAAGTTCTGAGGCAGAGATAAGAACAATGAGAATAAAAATTCCTTTGGTGATTTATAAATCTCATGTTACACACAGTTGTGTATGCCTATTGCTCCTGAAAACAAAGAGGAGCAACCCAAGCCCCTCTGACTTGAAATGAAATAGCTTTGTTTGGTGTTCCTTTTGACGTGGCCTTGATGTAGTGACCAGAATACTACCCTGGCTGCCTGGACCTCAGGTGTTTCAGGTAGCCTCAGAACAACAGCAGCGGGGCTCTGCAGTCTGCAATGGCATAAACCTCTCAAATTCAGTCCAGCTTCTCTTGAAAACACATCACACACAAGGACCAAAAAGCTTATCTGAATTTACACCTTCTAATTCACTCCAGCTCTTAAAAGGAAAACCATTACTGGAAGGTGTGAATTGTTACTTGTCTGCAGATGTCACAAAGGCAGAACAAATAAGTCTTGTTTTAAAGAATGACCTGGAGTTTCAAGTTCGGAGCTCAAGTTCCATACATATTTTTTTGTGGTTTAAGTTTTTATTTTTATTTTTCTTCCCCATGCTGGAAATAATCAGAGCTAATAATTGACTACACTCAATGTTTTCTACATTCAGCCCCAAAGTACTTTCAATTCAGGTAAAGAATGCAGACATACAGTAATAAAATGTTTTAAAAGGGATGCCAAATACTCGATTCATTTCATTGGTCACTCAGGAGACTTTCCACCTAAACCTGCTACTGAGTCCTGCCAAAAGCTGAGCCCAAATAACGATGTCACCCAGGGCTGTATGCTTCCCTGCAATTGGAAAATTACTTCTTTTAGAAAGTTTCTTGAGATATGCACCTCTTTGGGTTTTCCCAGCTTCAGTAACTGAGGCAGACAGATAGGGAGGGCCACTTTGCTTTCAAGATGACCATCTGCCCCCTAAGGATGAACCAGTTTTGTTTTGGGTTTTTTTGGGGGGGGTCCCTTTTTAAAGCGTCCCTGAAAACGATATGACTTCCAGCACAGGCGGCTCCAAGTTCAGGGCACTAGCTAGTGTCGCTCCCCTCTCAACTACAGTGCGGGCTGTCTGGAAGTCCTTTTGCTCTCCGGCCAGTCCGTCCCACCCTCGGCTACACAGACACACACTCACACACACACACACACACACACACACACACACACACATACGTACACACACGTAGATTGCGGTTTGCAACAACTCCCCACTCTCCCTCCCGCCCCCCAATTCACTGCAGCTGGAGAGGGGGTGCGGGGGGCCAGCAGCGGGGGCTGGGCCGGGTACAGTGGCGGTCCGACCCCGGGGCTTCACTTACCGCTGTCCAGCCGGGCGATCTGGGGCAGCCGGTAAGTGCTGACCAGCAAGTCCAGCGGAACGGCGCCCGAACTCCACTTCACATCCTTCAGACTGTAGCCCTGCGAGGGGACTGGGTCCATCTTCCTCGCCTCCTTCTTCACACACCCCCCCTCCCTTTCCAGGCCACTACCACCACCTCCTTGTCCTCTGCCTCCTCGGGCTCCCGGGGGTGGGGTGCGGTGGGGGTGGTGGGCTGAAGCGGGAGGACCGACAGGTCTCCCAGATTGCTGGGTGCAGCAGGGCTGGGGGTTGGGGGGGTTGGAGAGGGGGGAGAGAGCTTTGCTCCCGGCTCAGCCGCTGCTGCTGCTGCGGCTGCTTCTGCTGCTGTTGCAGCTGCAGCTGCGGGACATGGTTGAGACGCCCCGGGTTCCCTTACAGAGAAGGAACTCTAAGGAGAAACCGTGGCGGCGGTGCCTGCTGTTGCTGCCGGGGCTGGCGGTGGTGATAGTTTTGCTGCTGCTATTCCTATTGCAGCTCCTCCTCCTCCAGCCCCCCGATTGCAGCTGCGGCGGCTGCCCGCTGCTCTCCTCCTCCTCCTCCTCCTCTTTCTCCTCCTTCCCTCTGCTTCTAGTGTGTGAGGAGGAGCCGCTGGTCTGAGAAACGCCATAGCAGCGCTCCCAGCACTGACTAATCAACAAGGTGCGAGCAACGCCTGCGCAGCTCCCGGAAACACCGCCTCCTCCTCCTCTTCCTCCTCCTTCTTCTCCTCCTCCTCCTCCAGCTGCTCCCGCCCTGCGGCAGAGCCGGAGCTCCCGGCGGGCTCCATCTGACTCTCTCCTCCCTCCCTGGTGCTTTCCTGGCTTTCCCTTCCCGGGGATACACTAACATGGGCGCTCTGTGCAAAGTCTTTAGCTCTCGCTCCACCCTCTGACCACTCCGGCTCCCTGCAGGAGTCACACAAGCCTGGAAGGGAAGGAGCTGATTTGATTTCTATCCTTGGCTGTGTAGAAGTATTTTACAGACTGTACTGGAGAAACGCGAAAGTTGAATTGCAGCTTTCAGCTTGCCCTTGGAAATCAAGAGCTGCAACTTATAAATTAAACACAAAACTATGTCGTAGAATTTTGTCTATTTGCAAAACCTGGAACTTGCAGTGATCTTACTAACTATCCTCTTGGGTGCCAATGCGATTCACTGCAACAAACATCTTTCAGCTAAATCACAGTACGTGAAAGGTTCTGTCCCGGGCTCCAAAATGAGATGCAAAGATAGAAACGACACAGATTATGCCCTCAAGAAGTTTACAATCCAACCGCAGACGCGTTTAAAAAAAGACAAAACAAATCCTTGTGATACAAGGGAGAGTGTGATTAGAATGTAAACTCCTTGAGGAAGTCAACAAAGCACTTATTAGGCTCCTACTATGTGCCAGGAACTGTATTAATTGCTAGGGATACAAAGAAGGGCAAAAAGACGATTTACATGGAATTTACAATCCAGTGGTGAAGACAATATTAAAACAATCATGTACAAATTATGTAATTCATTTATATGTGTACATATGCACATACATGTATCATGTATACTGTGTATACATATATAGTGCGTATGTGTGCCCATCTATACATATAAATAAATATGTACACATATAACTATAGTATGTGTGTATATGCATACACATCTTAAATTGGAGATTATCTCAGAAGAAAAGCACTAGCATTGAAGGGACGGAAAAAGCTTCTTGCAGATGGGATTTTGACTGACTAGAAGGAAACTAGAGAAGTCAGGAGACAGAAATGAGAAAGGAGAGAATTCCAGGCATGGCGGACAGCCAGTGAAAATGCCCTAGGAAGGTGATGGAGTATCTTTTTGTAAGAACAGCAAGGAGACCAGGTTCACTAGATCATAGAGATTTGGAAGGGAGTAAGATGTTGGAAGACTGAGGTCATGCTTAACATAATGCCTGGCATATGATTAGGCGTAATAAATGCTTGTCAATTGATTGATTAATGAGGGATCCCCGGCAAGGGAGAGGGCCAAGAGGGTTGTGAGAAATCTAAGAAGAGGTCATTTACCACTATGAGAGGGGTGTGGGGGTGGGGAGTAGCTCCAGGGGAAGCTGGAGTTGAATGAGATCAGGGGAAGTTTCATGGAGTTCTTAGCATCCTCACTCCCCTATCCCAAACCTTCAAGCTGCACTCCTGGGGAGTGGAGTAAAGGAGAAAGATCTGATTTTTCACCTCTTGCCTTTTGTCCACATTAAATCTAGATAGTAGCTGCTCAAGAGGTAGGCTCTCTCCAGAAAACAGGCAAAGCATATCTAAAATAATTGCCAAGATTCAAGACTCTAGAGAAAATTGCCAAGAGGAGCCATTTGTCTCATGCATATCATAAGGCAGATGAGTTTGTTTACCATGCTAGGGACAAGTGAACTGAAGGAGTAAGAAGTCAAAGATGGGGCAATCAACTAAAGGAGAATTCAGTACTGAATACATAGTTTACCCACATTTTGCAGATGAGTAAATTTAGGATAGAGGGAGGTTAAGTTCTTTATCTACCCTCACTGAATACTGAGGGTAGGTTGGGTTCTGTGTATTTAGTATCACTCACTCTTGGGAACTTGGGAACTTGGAACTCTAAGTTGAACTGAATTCTTTCTGTTGTCATTTGTTTTCAGAGAGGACCAATGATATACCAGACCAATGGTTTGACTTGTATGTGAATTGGATTTAAGTGAGGCAGTTGTACAGTCATCCACCTCACATTCTCTTCCAGAATCATCAAAGTCCAGCAGCAAGACAAAAGTCAGAACAACTGATGATGACCGGGAATGCAGTGATTAACCTTGGTGCCCTTGATATCTGACCAAGCTCTAATCTCTTTAGCTCCTTCATGGCCTTTGAAAAAAATTGTTCTTATCCATCCACCCATTCCACCAGGAGTGGGGGCAGGATCTTCACATCCTTGGGGTAGACAGCCCCCTAACTCACCCATGGGTTTGAGGCCTGTCAGTCACCCTCAACCCAGTTTAGCCTGTCTGACTAGAGGGTTTTACTGGAGTGTGGCTGCTTTGCATGCTACAGCTTCTGGGAGCCACAGGTGAGAGTTGAGTGAAAAGTGGTCACCAAAAGGTGGATGAGCAGTGCTGAAAAAGGCTCAGCAAGCCCTCACAGTAGAGGTGCTAGTCCTCCCTGAGCACACCATACACCCCAATTCCTTTTACACTGTCTCTGGTGTCAGAAGGCTTAGGTTAGGGGGCAGCTAGGTGGCAAAGTGGATAAAGCACCAGCCCTGGATTCAGGAGGACATGAGTTCAGATCTGGCCTCAGACCAAACACTTCACACTTACTAGCTGTGTGACCCTGGGCAAGTCACTTAACCCCAATTGCCTAAAAAAAAAAAGGAAGCTTAGGTTAAAAATCCTGTGTCTCGCAGACAAGTAATAGAGGACAGTGGCCTGGTCTCAGAGTCAGGAAGGCCTGGGTTCATGCCTCCAACCCCTGCTGGCTGTGTAACTCTCTCTCATTGCCCCACACAGAAGGTGCTCATCTGCATTAGGACACAAAGCCTTCTCCTGGATGAAATTCCAGGTCTAGAACAACAACAACAAAAAAAAGTGAAGACACACATATACACACACACAAAAGATCTTCTGAGGATCACTGCCAGGGACCTCCAAGAGTATGGAAGCCAAGCCTTCAGTCTTGTTCCAGGTCACCTGGGAGCAGAGGGGACCCTGACCTTCACAATGACAATCCTGCCCCTGCCCATTTGGGCATTCTGAATGAGGAGCAAAGTGCAGGCTTCAGAAGTGAACAATAAATAAATAAATAAATAAATAAAGCCCTTTTCATAATAATGAATAGGGTAGAAAAAATTGTTTTTGTGCAAAGGAAGAAATATGTGTTGATTATTAAATGATTTAGGATGTCACTACTATTATGGATGAACATTTTGATGTGTAATTTGAGTAGGAAAAGAACTTTTTAATATAAACTGCTAAAATGTCTATGAAGTAACAGCTTTCAGGTGAGATTTGGACAGTTTTGGAGACAAAAAGATCTGTGGTACAGAAGTGTGGACTCAGAATTTTTTGTCAACAAAGTGGGGAGATGCTTCATTTGTGTGGGAAGTTTAATGTTATAAAGGAGAAATAAAGGATCTTTTATTATTAAAAAGTAAAAAATAAAAATTCTGTGTCTGATTCTTACTACCTACCTTAATTACAATCTTGTTGTTTGGTCATGTCTGACACCTCCTGACCCTGTGGACCATACTGTCAGTGAGGTTTTCTTAGCAAAGATACTGGTGTGGTTTGCCATTTCCTTCTCTGGTGGATTAAGGCAAACAGAAAATAAGTGACCTGCCCAGGGCCCCCTGAGGCCAGATTTGGACTCAGGTCTTCCTAACTCCAGGCTCAGCACTCTACATCTAGCTGACTTTAAGAAAGTCCCTTAACCTCTGTTAGCCTGTTTCTTCATCTGTAAAACAAGTAGATTGAGCCAGTAGTCTCTAAGGCCTTTTCCAGTTCTAGAGCGTGGGTACCGTCATTGATGATCACCTGATTTTTATGTACTAACAGTCTTAGAGAGTGAAGCCCAGGATAATAACAAGGGGAGGCCATCCTTGGTGTTGGGATACACTGGGCTGAAGTCTAGCATCTGTTGCTTTCTAATTATAATGTCACTTAATGTAAGTCACTTAACCCTTCGGTTACTCAAGAAGCTCTCTAAAGCTGTAAGTTATAGATGAGTAGCTTATTATCATCGATAGAAAAAGTTGCACACCAACAAAATCACAAGTTTCAACCAAAACATTTTTGAACCAACCATTTTTTAACAATAAGATGATATTAATGGATAAAATTACAGATCTCATCTCAAAATTATAGATCTGGACATTAATAGAGTTGAAAATATTTTACTTTTTTTTTCAATTTTCAGTCAATAATCCATGCTTGAAATAAAACGAGATGAGCTATAAGACAATGGTATAATGGAAGGTCAAGCATATTGGATTTGCTGGGAGAAGATCTAGACTTGAACCTGGACTCAGCTACTCACCAGTTGTGTGACCTTGGGCCAGTCACTTCACAAAGTGGGCTTCAGTTTCCTGTTATAAAATGAAGTTGGACTAAATAATCTCTAAGGTCCCTTCCAGCTGGAGGCATACTAGAACCAGTTTCAACAGGCACATTGGATTGTTTGAGATCAGTTGAGAATTGATGGTTTAAGTTTTATTTTT